GTTGATTTTCCATTTCTGAATGATTTTGAGGGATTTCTGACCGTGAATGGTTGTGAGGGATTTTGCCGGCGATGGGGACGGAAATCTTTGGAGATGGGGATGGATTTCGCCGTAGAGAGTGAGAGATGAAGATGGGACTGAGTGTTGTGATTTTAGGTTTGAGGTTATGAGTTGTAATTACTGTGGACGGTTCAGTTTCCGATATATTAAGAAAAAATTCGTGTTTGGAATTTGAAAAAAAAAACGTGTTAATACGAATGGCGTTATGTAAATCACATTGTGATAGTCAGATTCGCATTGCGATTTACGTATTCGCATTGCGATTTTCCTAATTCGCATTGTGATTTACTTAATCGCGTTGCGATTTACGTATTCGTATTGCGAATTAGGAAAATCGCAACGTGAATTTGGGAAATCGCAATGCGATAGTTAGAATCGCGTTGCGAATCTGGAAACTGATTTGCGATACCGGAGATCGCATTGCGAATTATCGATCGCATTGCGATTTAGTTGGTCATTTTGGCAAATCCAAAAAAAGTTGTTAAAATCGTATATTATAAGGCATTTTTGGTCACGGAGGTTATTTTCTCTATATATTATTGGTGAATGAAAGGTTGATTAGTAAAAGTTTATGCAAAAGCAAATATAGAGCTTAATGGTTTCTGCAAATCGAAAATATCATCTATTAATGCTGTAAAAACCCACTTTTGTCAGGAATTATCTACTATTTTGTACATAAAATGTTTAGTATAAATAATATATATTTTTTGAAAATAATATATAATTTTCAAAAAATACATATGTTTTTCGAAATATATATATATATATGTTTTGAAAATATATAATATAATTTTTTGAAAATATATGATATAATTTTGAAAACTTACTATAAAAATGTGTGTTTTAAAAATATATAATATAGTTTTTTTTGAAAATATATGATATGGTTTTAAAAACGTATTATAAAAACATATTATAATTTTAAAAACATATTATATATAGTTTTTGAAAATCATATATAATATAATTTTTGATAACATATATATAATTTTTGAAAATATTTTTGAAAACATATTATATAAGTTTTTAGAAGACATATTACATATAGTATTTTGAAAACGTATATAATATAATTTTAAAAATATAGTATTATTATTTATTATTACTACTACTATTATTATTATATCATCATTATTAGTAGTAGTATTTATTTTTACTTTATCTTTATTTTTAGGACTAATCTTAAGGTCCACAAACCAAGGTCCAAATTGAAGCACAAGCATCCAAGTCCAAGTTTAAACCTAGCAAAGGTTCAAGGGTGAAGCTCGTCTGCCTGAACCAACAAACAGGCCTGGTTGGCCCAACAGAATTAGCTTGCTTGACACAGCAAGCAAACCCAATTGGAGCACTCAACAGAGAAGGCCCAACAAGCAAAGCCTGACCCAGCTTAACACACTAGGCTTTCATCATTTCCATCAAGTGCCGTATGAAGGAGAGCCATGCGATCGAGGCATGAATGAGCGGCCAGAATCTAAACAAATCTAGGGTTTCAAAACCTTAAGGGTGCATTTGGTTCACGGAATATAAGATTATCAGTGGAAATAAAAGATTACCAGTGAATAGGATTACTGGAATATTGTATTTTGTGTTTGGTTGGTTTAGCAGGAATGTAAGATTACTGTGTTTTGTTAAAGGAATAAAATATTATTGGAATGTATATTTGACCAAATTGTCTTTATTATATATTTGTTTTTTTAACAAGTTGGAAAATATTTATATATTTTCTTTAAAAAAATTAAATTCATAAAATTTATATATATATTTTTACAAAATTGAAAATATAAAAAGGTTTAATGAAATGTTAAAATTTTATTATAACCCCTGAACTTCATATAAAATTTTAATTATATATTTTTTTGTAAATCTAAAATAGTTTAAGGATAAATTTGTAATTTAACATTCGTAGAATTTTTATTATTCAATGACATAATAAGGATATTTTTTTAAAAAAATATATAAGGGCATTTTAGTCCAAATTGCAGGTAATCCAACAATACCTAAGGAAAAGGAGGTAATGACATTCCAGGTAATATACCCCAAAAAATCCACTATTGGTAATGTAAGATTATCGGGAATAACATTCCCGGCCAACCAAACAGGGGAATGTGGATTCCATTCCCATGGGAATCTCATATTCCCTCAACCAAACACACCCTAAAGGAGACAAAGTTGCACAGTTAGATATGTGTCGTTAGATCTGCAGCTAATCAAACGGCCATGATCATATTAGAATGTTCCAGAAGCTCAAAGGCCACCACCGACGACCGATAAAACGGCGCATGAAGACCACGCACCGATGAAACCACTGTCATACGTTGACCAAACAATCTTAACATGTTGAACAGTAACTTTTAGGGCCATTTCAAGCAATCTTTGCCAGCAAACTGAGAGCAAAACAACCCAAAATCACGGCAAAAATCAAGCACAATCAAATTGAACCAAGAATGGAAACAAAAATGAACACAAAAGGCAACCCAAATTCATTGGAAGTAAAGGAAGCATTTTCCTAAAAGAGGCATGAACAAAATCAGCAAAAATCAACTAAAGAAAGGCAATGAAACCATATCAAAATGATAAAGGGGAAGATCATTTCATCGGATCCCTTTAATTTTGGGATAAAGAGATTACAAAATCTTTTATCGGAGAAAAGATTTGAGCCTCACAATGCTATAAAACCTGTAAAAAATGACATTTCCTATTAAATACTTATTTTCTCCCCTTCAATAACTTTCTCTTGACCAATTTTATTGAAATTTTGCATGGTCTTTATCAAGTATTACCACCCATTTTTATGATAATTATTGAGAACGTGAATTTCCATGACAATTCCCTTACTTGGTTGAGTGGAAAATTTTGAGTGTGTTTGGCAAGAAAGAAAAATGATTGAAGAAGAAAATAATTTTTGAACGTGCTCGATAAGAAAGAAAAGTGAGGGGGAAATGACATGCATGATTATTTTCCATCCCCTGTGTAAAACAAAACATTGAATTTTTTTTTGGATAAATTGAATTTTATTATCCAAATGAACATTACAGGAAACAAGAAACATCCCAAGAGGGAGTATATCAGTTATTTAGAACAAAAATTAGTCAATACTCCAATAATTACAGAGAATAGAATTAACATCGTCAAGTCTGGATTCTAACTTGCTCCTTGATGTTCTTCAAAAGCTGCTCCATTTCTCTATTTCTATTTTGAAAGATTCTTCTATTCCTTTCTTCCCAAATGAAATAAATGTAAGCATTCCATGCAATCCTCAAAACAGTGGAGATGAGGGATTTACCTTTCCATTCTCTACAAGACCAATCAAGCTGTGTTTCCCAGGACATGTGGGGTTTACGCAAGTGAGTGCGCTGCAATATGGAGTTCCAGAGAGCTTTAGCAAAGTGGCAGTCAGTAAACAAATGGTTTCTAGTTTGAATTTCCTCTTTACAGAAGACACGTAACTCATCAGTTTGAATTCTCATTCGAGATAGTCGGGCACGAGTTGGAAGTCTATCATGAATAGCCATCCAAGTTATCATACTTGTTTTTGGAATATGGAGAGGAAACCAAACCACTTTGTGCCATGGGACCTTGATATGCTTTTCTCTAATTTCTTCCCATATTTCCTTAGTCTTCAAAACACCTGCATTGAGAATGGGAATGGCTTCTGTCCTTAGCTTTAACAGTTTTTTGATACCCCAGCTGTGAGTAGGACTTTCACTTAAGTCAATAAAATCTTTGTTCTTGATCACATACAACTTAATCCAAGCAACCCAAAGTGAACCTTCTCTAGCAAGAATATTCTGAATTAACTGAATCATGTAAGCCTTGTTCTATATTTTGATATTTTTAAAACTGATACCACCTTCAGATTTGGGACAACAAATATTTTTCCAACTGATTCTAGCTCCAGTAGCCGCTTGATCAAATCCCCTCCAAAGAAAACGTGTACATAGCTGGTCAATTCTATTAATAACAGACTGAGGAAGCATGAACTATCTGCACCAATAGTTTGAAATATTAAACAGAAAAGATTTGATCAATTCAAATCTTCCAGCATAACTGAGCATTTTTCCAGACCAAAGAAGCAATTTATATTTAATGCTATCAATAAGCGGTTGGTAGTCTTGAATATTCAGTTTCCGAGTGACTAAGGGTACCCCTAAATACCTTACAGGCAAAAATCCTTGTTTAAACCCAGAGAATGCTTTAATAGCTTCAAGATTTCTATCGAAATACCAGCAGCAAACAGTTTTGTCTTATCAACATTAAGCTTAAGACCAGACAAGCTATAAAAGTGATTAAGAACAGTAAGGATACCAACAACAGAATCAGTGTTTCCTTTGCAAAAAATTAAGAGATCGTCAGTAAAAGATAAATGAGTGAGTCTATTTTTATTTTTTATTTTTGCATTTTGGGTGATATCCAAATAAACCCCTAATAACATTAATGTTTAGGATCTTTGAAAGAATATTCATGGAAAGAACAAATAAAATAGGAGATAAAGGGTCTCCTTGACGAATACCCCTATGACCTTTGAAGTATCCTATTAAGCTACCATTTAAAGAGATAGAATATATTGCTTCCTTGAAGCAAGCTTCAATCCAGCTTATGAAGATGTTTGGTAGACCAATAGCAATTAGAACAGCTGAAATAAAGTCCCAATGAAAAGAATCAAAGGCTTTTTGAAGGTCAATTTTAAGAGCACACTTTGGAGAGATATTCTTCCTCACATAGCCTTTTACAAGTTCTTGAGCTAGAAGAGTGTTGTCAATTATAGTTCTTCCTCTGACAAAAGCAGTCTGGTTTAGTGAAATTATGTCAGGCAACAACATAGTCATTCTTTTGACAAGGATTTTAGAGATAATTTTGTAAACTACAGAGCAACAGGAAATTGGCCTGAAATCCTTGACTTTGCTAGGATTGGGAATCTTAGGAATCAATGAAATAATTGTTTAGTTGAAGGCAGGCAGTAAGTAAGAATCCTTGAAGAAAAATTTGATAGCATTTATAACATCATCCCCAACAACATTCCAAGTTTTCTTGAAGAAAATAGGAGTGAACCCATCAGGGCTAGTAGATTTTTCATTCCCTTGGTTGAAAATTGCTTCTTTTATCTCTTCAGAAGTAATGATTTTGGTTAAGTCAGAAATAACATCAGAGGACAGATTGACATTAAGCATATTTTTCAAGAAGAAGAGATCAGGTTTTTGAACACCAGGATCAACAGTTCCAAGCTGAGCTTTAAAGTAATCTAAGATTTCAATAGCCATATCATCAAAAGATTCCAATCTTTGTCCTTGTACATTAATGATAACTCTGATAGTGTCTCTTTTATGTTTGTTAGCAATGACAGAATGGAACAAATTGGTGCATCTATCTCCCTCTTTGATCCATTTGACTATAACTTTCTGTTTGAGAAATAGATTTTCAGCTTCTTCAATAGAAAACATCTCCTTTTGAACATTCAATTCTTTTTCAATAGGACTAATGCCACTAAGAGTTGAGATTTGGATATTTTCAAGCTCGGCTTTTTTGAGTTTAACTCTAGCAGAGATATCAATGTAGAAGTCCTTGTTTAAATACTGTAAACAAGGTTTCAGGCGTTTTAATTTGTGAAATAGTATATGCATAGGGTTTCCATGGGTAGCCTGCTGCCAGGATTTTTGAACTCCAGTAAGGAAATTTTGATGGTTGGCCCAGAAATTAAAAAATTTAAAAGGTTTGGGATGATTAGTTTGGATATCTTTACTTAACCAGACAAGAGCCATACAGTGATTAGAAGGTCCAGGAGCAAGGAATTCAACAAAAGATTTTTGGAAGGAAGAGGACCAAAGAGGATTAATAAGCACTCTTTCTAGTTTTCTAGCAAGATAATTTTCTTTTTTCTTATTACTCCAAGTAAAAGAAGGACCCAAATAAGGATGGTCACAAAGTTGAAGATCATATAAAACATCATGGAAATCTTTCATATCAGAGAAGTAATAAGGCCCTAAAAGTTCAAAATCAAAGCTTTCCTTAGGGTTAAGATAAATGTTGAAATCTCCCCCTAGAACCCAAGGAAAAGAGCCAAAAGAGATATTAAGATCTCTTAGGTGATGCCAAATAAATCTCCTAGAAAGGCCATAATTGTTCCCATAAACAGTTGTGATGATAAACTGCTCATTATTGAAATTGCATTTGACAGTGATGCTTTGAGAAGTAGAATGACAGAAGGAAATATTTATTCCTGTCTTCCAGAGAAACCAGATCCTGCCATTAGAAGCTGAGTCATAGTTGGTAATCACACCCTAATCCCCAAATCTAGAGTGAAAGATATTAGCAAAATTTTCAGTCTTGACACGAGTCTCCAACAAACAAAGAATGTCAACATTGAAAAGCTTGGCTCTATTGAGGAATTTAATATATTTTTTAGGATTATTTAAACCTCTTATGTTCCAAAAACAAATGATCATTGAGAAGGATATATGGGATCACCCCCTTGTTCACTATTTACAGAACTTTGAACTTTAACAGTGTGCTCTTTCTTTTTAAATTTAAGCTCTTTAATCAAATTAGCAACCCCTGAGGCAGCAGGTCTTGGTTTCCTAACTTGAATCTCAATAGAAGGAGGGTTCTTATCAATGGTGCTAAGGATTTCAAATCTATTTGTTGATCCTTTTAAAATAGTATTAGATTTAGCTTTTAGAGGCATACCTCTACCTCTTTTTAGGATAGGAACAGATTCATTATCCTTAGCATTTGAAGGGATTTCAAGAGTTGTAGTTACCCCTTTAACAGATTCCACTAAATTAGGAGAGAGTTGAGGAATGATAGAAGATTCTTCACCAGAAAAGTTATTTGGGTCACTCTTGGAAGATGAAGCAATTTGTACCGGAGAAAGAATATTGTTTGGTAACTCATAATCTGAAACCTTTGGAGAAGGATTAAAATTCCGAGTATGTTCAGATTTTTCCTTAGGAAGAGAAGGATCTGACTCTGGTTCCTGTAAGGGTTCAATTCCTTCAAAGGAGTTAGTCCCTTGGTTAGCAATCATGACAGATTTCTTCCTCCAAAATTTTGTAGAAGAATGAGCAGTAGAGGTGTTAACAGAGCAGTTTTTATCAGTATGACCAAAAGAATTACACCTTTTACAGAAGAATGATACCATGGAACTTTAACAAAGATGATAGTGGTCTGACCATTAGCCATAACCACTTCAACAGTTTTTGGAATTTCCTCTTTAGCACCTACTTCAATGCAAACCTTAGAAAATTCTAATCTAGTTTTTGAAGCAGTAACAGAGTCCATGGAAATGGGGACTCCTAGAGCACTAGCAATGTAACTAAGACCTTCCCTATTAAATAATTCCAGTGGAACATTGAACAGATGAATCCAAAGAGGAAGACGAGATAAATCAAAGTTAAGCTTTTGTAGATTAGGCTTCCATTTTATGAGGATTAATGGCTTATTAAGAATATGCCATGGTCCGTTTTCAATGACCTAATCCCTAGCAGAATCAGAGTTGAAAGAAAATATATATAAATTGTTCCCAGCAAGACTGACCTGAACAGAAAACCCCTTCGAAGCCTGATTCCAGAGATTATCAATAACTCGTTGTAGAGAGAGAAAATTGGGGGCTGACCCAAGAAACTGTCCAACTAGTGCTGACTTCCATTCTGTCGTACCTGTCTCGAAGACCTCTGGAGGAGGTTGAATAATTGAAACCTTATCGTTTAATTTTGGAGGGAAATAAGAAAGTTCCTGATTTGCTTTACACCCAAATAATTTGCGCCAGTCCATTACTAATGTGAAGAGAAGTGAATAAAGAAGACCAGAAGAATAATAATCAGAAGAAAACTAGACAAGAACGCTGGAGAGGCGACGAAAAACTCAAGTTCCATTAGCCCTGCTAACGTGCTCCCAGAGAACTCCGTAAACGTGCGCCATTATTAAAAAAACATTAAATTTTAGAAGGAAAATATGAAAGAAAATATGAGAGAGTTCAAAATATGTATTTTTTTAACTTAGTTTTTTCTTCTAATTTTCCATCTCTACCAATCAACGAATGGAAAGTAAATTACATTTTCTTCCAAATTTTTCATCCTTTCTACCAAGCACACTAATGGAAAGAAAAATAGTTTTCTATCCTTCCATTTTTAACTTTTCATCATAGAAGAAATAAGAGTAAAATGCGAACGTTTTGCTATCGTTTTTGCAGTAAAAAGAACGATATTATTTTAGGCATCAATAATGGCACCAAAATGATGTTGTTTGGTCCATATCATCTTACCGTTTGAATTTTAATGACCAAACAATATAATTAGAGTTAAAATCAAAATTTAATGCTATAATATGAAAAATTAAAAGTTCAATGGTATAAATATTTCACTACCTAAAGTTCAATGACATGTGATGTAATTTATCCATACTTTACTGATATTCTATGTCCTTGAGTCAATAACAACAACGCTATAGGAAGTTATCCAAATCAATACTACAGCTGTCGAGATATTATTGGCGAGAATGCTTTGACTTAAACAGGTTGAAAAGATTGAAGAACCAACCAATCAGAATTCACATTATAACGTATAACCTCTGGCGCTTAGAAAGTCCAAAATTCACGTTTAGTTATATTAAAATCTAATTTTTTATTATAACAAATATATAATTTATTGCTAGCTTTATATGTATATTATAAAATATCAATCGATCAATTAAAAATATTTTTTATAAATAATAATAAACGTCTCATTTATTTATATAAAAAGACTCGTTAGCTTATAACTCGTAAAAAAAGTTTTATTAACCTAATATCACATAATTATGTATATATAGACTGATAATATTATCTTTCTGATAGCCTCTTAACTAAGACATAACTATAACTATAGTTATTATTTAACATATATATTTCCATCCCAATGACACCCTCAAAACTGAAGAATTATTTCATGGATTTAGCTAATCACGTCATCCATAAATTTAATGAATCATATTTATTAATTTTAAAATATTTTAAAATAATTATTTATATTTTATTTATAAATAAAAAAATGAAAATTCGCCTTAGAGGAAAAATGAGAGAAACAAATGTTATTGATTGAATCATTGAGCAGAGCTGACCTTCCATTCGTCAAAGAGCAAGTTAACTAACTCTTTGTTATTTACCCTTTTAAATAAACCGAACAAATCAAACACAGTTTTCACTTGTTTAACCTTTCTATTTCTCCTCTTTGAATTCTCAAATTCTTCACCTTTTGTTTTCTTCAGGAAAAAGTATTTGTGCTTAAAGCTTAAATACTCCAAAACGAGAAAAGCTTTTATGTGCCTGCTTTCAACTTTACTTGAAATCATCTCCTTCGGGTGAGTGCTTTTAGTGTTGTTTTTCTGGTTGAATTCAGTGTTATGTGCTGTTTTTTTTATATTTTTGGAATGGTTTGTTCTGAAATGGGCTGTTTGATTATCCACTTTTTATTACATGCATGGTGTTTGTTTTACTGAAATCTAATAGGTTTTCATCAAATGGATTCTTTGATTTCAAGTGTTTTTGGTACATGCATGGAATTGTCAGTTATCTCAGTTTTATGAAGCTCTCTCTCAGATAGACTTGAGACTTGAGAGCATGTTCATCCGGTTGGATTTTGTTTTTGTGATAATAGGATTTCATATTTATATAAGCTTTGAGATGATCACATAGTATTATGCAGATTTTTAAACATTCATTTGTATGTTGGTATCATGTAATCACGTTGTGTTCGAATTAATCTTTTGTGGGGTTTTGGTACAGAAATGGCTATAAAGAAAAACGGGTTCATTCATAGTTCTGCACCAGAAGAACTAAAGAAAGTTTTGAAAGAAGTGGCAGCCGGATGGGGAGATGCGATACAAGATATAGAAGAATTCGATGTAATTCCACTGAAGGGAGCAATGACTAATGAGGTCTTTCAGATAAACTGGCCTACAAATCATGGTGATCTTCATCACAAAGTGTTGGTCCGGATTTACGGTGAAGGTGTCGAAGTGTTTTTCGATAGGGATGATGAGATTAGGACCTTTGAGTGCATGTCCAAGCATGGTCAAGGACCTAGGCTTCTTGGGCGGTTTTCGGATGGAAGGATCGAGGAGTTCATTCATGCCAGGGTATATATAATTTTCTTTCATCCTTGATGTCTAATTCGCACAATGTTACATTATGTGTTAGAATAACTATATCTTAACTGCAATTTACGGATGATGTTCAATTGCAACTCAATTCTTTCCTTGCTTAATGATTTCCGAATGTTGATTATTGCTCTGGAGCCATTAGAAGAAGACTAGATCAGGGTCATCTAAACGAGTACCTGTAGGAAAGGAAGTTCTTGGTGCCATCTAATGGTTACTTAATGTCGGTCTTCTTCCTCCTCAATTTGCAAATGATCTACAAGTTTTCTTTTGACATCAACTATCAATTTGCTTAGATTTTTATTCATAAATACATGGTCAACCCTGATAACCCATTTTATCAGGCTGATGCTAGTAGATCAAGTAATGAATTTTTGGCGGTTTTGTTTCAGGCACCCATCTTTTATCTTATTTCTGGTGTTGCCCCTTAACATTATCTTATTGATTTACCAGACACTTTCTGCAGCTGATCTCCGGGACCCAGAAATATCTTCCCTTATAGCAGCTAAATTGAGAGAGTTCCACGATCTTGACATGCCTGGTCCGAAGAATGTATTTCTCTGGGAGCGATTGAGGTACTAATATGCATTTGTGATATCAGTTCTTTTATCTTTCGGCTCGAAAGGATCTTATCCCTTTTTGCTTCTTACAGGACTTGGCTTAGTCAGGCAAAGAAGATCTGTTCCCAGGGAACTGCTGAAGAATTCGGCTTGGATGTTCTCGGAGAGGAAATAAGCATCCTCGAGAAAGAGTTAACACAGAGTTATCAAGAGATTGGGTTTTGTCACAATGATTTGCAATATGGTAACATAATGATGGATGAAGAGACGAGAGCAATTACCCTAATCGTAAGTTTCCGGTTCCGTTAACATTAGTCGCAATTATTGCTTCTATACAGTGCTTTCAGTTCTAGACTCTGCTCTAGCATTTTCTTTAGCTTAATCTTCCCTTGAAAAATTAGTTAAACACGCATTTGCAACTATATTTCTCCAATCTGCATATACAAAAGTTGTTTTATTTGACTAAAACTGTTTCATCTGCGTGCTCTTGGAGTAAACTAATGGTCAGCCAAATCAGAATTAATTATGAATGTTACATGGAATTCATTACTTCCTTTTCGCAGGACTACGAGTATGCAAGTTACAATCCTGTCGCTTATGACCTTGCAAATCACTTCTGCGAGATGGCCACTAATTATCATTCCGAGACACCCCATATTTTGGACTACCGCATATACCCTGGTAACTTGTAATTTTAGAAACATCTTTTTAATTGGTTTCGAAAACATCATGCAGGTTTGAGTCGAATTGTCGTAACCGTTTTTCGTCCGGGCACGAAATATTTATTTGGCGGGGAAATTAATGTTAATAAATAATTTTGAAAATAATTTGGGAGTCGCCATCAGCCTTTTGGGTCAGGTAGGTTGAATACCTAAAAAATATCTTTTAAAAGAGTTTTTAAGAAAACATCAATTAAAAGATAAACTGATCTGCGTTTTAACCATTCTTTTTAATAATAAAAAGGGATTCGTGGTCGGTTACGTTTAGGGAAGGATTAGCACCCCTATAACGCCCAAAATTGGTACTTTTTAATTATAAATTGTCTCTATTATTAAAATTTTAAAAATTCAAAAATATATTTAATTTATAATTCTATTCTTTCAAAATTATAAAAAATATTTATTTATTTAAAAATATCCGAAAAGAACTTCTAGGTGCCTTAAGACAGTTCTTTTCTTTGATATTGATAAGTATGAATTTATATAATATTGTTTAATTTTTAATTTTAAAATATCAGAATAGAACATCCAGTTGTATTAAGACTGTCCTTTTCTTCGATATGGAAAATAAATAAACATTGTTAAATAAATAATGTATATATTTATAATATAGTAAAACAATAATTAAAGTAATGATTGAAAATATATTAGAATAATAAAAATTAAGTTAAAACATAACTAAACAATGATTAAAAATAAATAAAATAATAAATGTAAAATTATGAACATAACCTGAATCATCATAAAATAAAATTACTAATAGTGTAATTAATCCTTAATTAATTAATCAGTGATTAAAATAAAATTTATCAAAGTTTAAAGGCTCTATCTCGAATAAATAAAACTTTAAGTGCTAAATGTAATTTAGCCTTATTTAATTAATCGGATTAAAATAAACGTTAATAAAATTATAAGGTACTAAATCAATTATTTACCCTAAATATATATATAAACTGATAATGACTAAAATGTAATAAAATAAAATTGAATGATATGATTAAAAGAATTAAAACTTGCTTTTAATGACTAATTTGTAATTTTACAAACTAGGAGTGACTGCGGAAAGGGTTTACCCATGATGGAAATTACACAGATACCCTCCCCCTTAAACGACGTCGCACGGATGAGGGTTTATAACCCTGAATGCCTGGCCCGAAGGGCCAAGCTTCTCATTTGCCTCATTTCTTTCTTTCTCAAGACGAGAGAACCAGAGTTCTCTCTGGTTTCTCTCTAGTTTCCTTCGCCGGAGGGAAACTGGCGGCCATGGGCCACCGTATTCCGCCGCCGGCCACCGCCGCCGGCCACCGTAACGGTGGTCGGAATTCACAAAAAATACCCCCAAAACGTAGATCTAAATGCCCTAAGACCGATTCCGGTCTTTGTTTTCCATAAAAGACTCCTAATCGGAGTAAATCTACGAAAATACCTTCGGTATTTTCTGTTCTCCGGCGATGTTTAGTGCTTCCGACGGTGGTCAAGGCTCCAAGGGTAAGTTTCTTTTCTTCTTTCTTTGTTTTCTATTTTTTTTTCTGGTTGTTGGTTGCTGTTCGTTTGTGTTCTTTTCCTCCTCTATTTTTTTTTTGTTCTGTTTTTTCGTTCTCTGCCGTCTGTGGATCCTTTTTGTCTTGCAGGTGGGTGGTGGCTTTTATAGCCACCACCGGTGCGGTCATCGGACTGGTCCGAAGAGGGGGCTTTGGTGAGTCACCGGACTACCAGTGGTGACTCACCCCGTAGCCTTGGCGTGGACGGCCGTCGTTGATCTTCTGGAGCCTTCATTCGGGATGTGGCAGCGGCGGAGGCGGTGAGGGCTTCTGGAAGCAGCAGCGGCGGCGGTGGACGTGTCCCTAGGGTATAGATACCCTAGGGTTTCCTCTGGCAAATGATGGACCGTTGGATCAAACCAGATCCAACGGTTGAGATTGAAGATGGCGGCTGGCGGCTGGCTAGATTTAGGGTTAGGGAACCCTAACTGGAAACCCAAATATTTAGGGTTTCCGGTTGGATTTGGACCGGTTTCAGTTGGTTTGTAACTGAGCCGGTTTAATTGTAACTGGTTTGTATTTAATATATTTAATAATAAAAATAATAATAATAATAATAATATTAATAATGATAATAATAATAATAATAATAATAATAATAATAATAATAATAATAATAATAATAATAATAATAATAATAATATGGATAAAAATTTAGTATCTTCAGCTGCCCCTCTTTGCTCATTCTTGTGTTAACAAGAATAGGGCAAAGATAAAAAGATAATAAAATTTTTATCCATTTGACTTTACTTTGATCATGATGGAGATATTGACTAAATTCTTCTTTTTCTCCAAATAAGTTCTTCTTATTATGAACTCTCTGCTGGGGATGATGATGACCTCCTTTCTGTGATAGAGTCATTCAAAAGGTTGAATAAACTCTTGATGAGTTCTTCTCATTATGAACTTTCTCTTCTTTCTTCAGATGATATCAAACAAAGGTTGAACAAGCTCTTCTCATTATGAACTTCTTCTTCCTTCTTCAGATGAGTTCTTCTCATTCATGAACTTTCTTTGGCCATGTTGATCCATCAAATGATGAATTTAAACAAAAAAGTTGAACAAGTTCTTCTCATTATGAACTTCTTCTTCCTTCTTCAGATGAGTTCTTCTCATTATGAACTTTCTCTGGAAAATATGATCCACCAAATGATGGATTCAGGTAAAAGGTTGAACAAATTCTTCTCATTATGAACTTCTTCTTCCTTCTTCAGATGAGTTCTTCTCATTATGAACTTTTTCTGGAAAAGATGATCCACCAAATGATGGGTTCAGGTAAAAGGTTGAACAAATTCTTCTCATTATGAACTTCTTCTTCCTTCTTCAGATGAGTTCTTCTCATTATGAACTTTCTCTGGAAAAGATGATCCACCAAATGATGGATTCAAGCAAAAGGTTGAACAAGTTCTTCTCATTATGAACTTCTTCTTCCTTCTTCAGATGAGTTCTTCTCATTATGAACTTTCTCTGGAAAAGATGATCCACCAAATGATGGGTTCAGGTAAAAGGTTGAACAAATTCTTCTCATTATGAACTTCTTCTTCCTTCTTCAGATGAGTTCTTCTCATTATGAACTTTCTCTGGAAAAGATGATCCACCAAATGATGGATTCAAGCAAAAGGTTGAACAAGTTCTTCTCATTATGAACTTCTTCTTCCTTCTTCAGATGAGTTCTTCTCATTATGAACTTTCTCTGGAAAAGATGATCCACCAAATGATGGGTTCAGGTAAAAGGTTGAACAAGTTCTTCTCATTATGAACTTCTTCTTCCTTCTTCAGATGAGTTCTTCTCATTATGAACTTTCTCTGGAAATGTTGATCCATCAAGTGATGAATTCAAGCAAAAGGTTGAACAAGTTCTTCTCATTATGAACTTCTTCTTCCTTCTTCAGATGAGTTCTTCTCATTATGAACTTTCTCTGGAAAAGATGATCCACCAAATGATGGATTCAAGCAAAAGGTTGAACAAGTTCTTCTCATTATGAACTTCTTCTTCCTTCTTCAGATGAGTTCTTCTCATTATGAACTTTCTCTGGAAATGCTGATCCATCGAATGATGGATTTGAACTTTGCTAAAATCTTTGAAATTCCTGTCAAATATTCAACATGGATAAAATGAATGAAAATGCTCCTATTTTGCAAATGTCTAAATATGATGCATGAATGTTGATGCAATCTTTGTTTAACTTCAAAATGGTGAACTCGGTTTTCCTCCACTTCATCATTTATTGCCAGGGTCACCTCTGGATATCAGTGTAGCAACTTATGCTATCAAGCTTGCATTTCTGAAGAACCATCTGATCAACTTGTATCTTTATGTCTTCTTTGCTTCATGAAAGTCTTAGAAGAATTGTTTCATTTGTGGAACTCTTGTCGTAGTCAGAATTATGACCTTGATGTCCCATTTTGTCTTGGATAAAACCAACTTTCTTTGCTTGGAGTTGTGCAGAAATCCGATCAAGCTTTCATCTTTGAAAAGAGAATCTGTCATCTTTAAAAAGGGAATCTATCATCTTTGAAAAGAGAATCTATCATCTTTGAAGAGCGTAGATGTAGATATGTCTGACTCAACAGGGATTAATTAGGAGAGTAGAGTATGTTCTAATTTAACTCTTGAAACATATCACAAGGAAGATTTATTTCAATTCCTTTCATGTCTCCATATATAATCAGATCTCGAATAAGACAACTTGGATCATATCATGTCGAGATGTTTAACAACAACATGTAGTTCAACCTTAGTTGGCACTACTAGTTTCTTGTTTAAAATTTCAGCTCTCCTTCTGTGGAAAGAAATCTTCATCATATCTCATTTCTAATCTTGAGGTTGAAGAAGACAGACTTCATCTTGTATCAATAAAGAAAAACCATATGATAACAACATTGGTTCAACACCATAATCACTGGTTCATAAAACATTTGACAACACATTCTTCATCTCCTGTGGCTTCTGCTCGAATTGCTGGTCAATGAAGCTCTTTGCATGGTGTTCAAAGTTTTTGTATGATGTCACAAGACCACTTGAGAACAAAACTCAATGGGAATACAAGTGAAATACTGGTATGACCAAAAAGTTGGTCAAATTCGCCAAATGTGCTGGTGTCGAATCGAATAGGAAAAACTAATTGATCTCGATATCATCTCGGGCAAGGGCAAGTGTAATACTGATCATGTTTTCTTCTGTAATGAGCATTGTAGAAAGTAGAAACACTTCCTATAGGATCCATGTACAGAAAGATATCCGTGGATTTCTTGCTGCTGGGGATGAAACGTACATGATAAAACCCAAAATAGATAAAAATTCAGTTCAGCCTGACTGGCAATGATAACCCCAATAATAGCGGGAATAACAGTAATGTAAGTGAGTCGAGTCTCCCTTTCCAATGTCATCAAGTAAAAAAAAACTGATGTGAAAAACAGCTTCATAATCCCAACAGTATGGTTGAA